GGAAAGTGAAGGTCGAGGTCGGACCCAGGGAAAGAGCCAAACCATAGCCTGTCTCTCGGGCTGACCACCCATTTTCCCGCATCGATTCCGACCTCCCAGTCATCTGGGACATGGCCCATGGCTCTCTGCATGCCTTCCCTGCACGGTTTGCGCATAGGGCCCGCGTTTTCAACGACCACGCGTATAGTGATGTCGTTGCGGTAGCACGTGGCGAAGGGCCACGCCGAGGAAAAAGCGAAAAAGAGGACCGACTTGTCTCCGGCTAAGCCATCCTAGCCGCGTCGAGACCCTGCGCGCGACAGGTTGTTGCATGGGCTTCCCCAACGACCAGAAGGACGGCGCTGGGCTCCAGGGTAGAGACGAACTGTTCCCACGCCGTCGTCTCAGCACCCGGTGTCCTCCTGAAGGTCCCACACGTCCGAAGCGAGGATTCGGTGCGGCGGTCCGCCGCCCCGTGCCCGTGTCTCAGGGCGTTCCCAATGCTGTGCAACCCTGCGTGCCATGCTGGCGTCGTGTCCTACGAGGTTGGAGGTGCGGAAGAGATCAGCGCATCCCATCCGATGGAGTAGGCCCCCCAATGCGCACCTGGCTGCCCCCCACCCGTCGAACAACGAGACCACATGCAGCGGGCGACTCTGCCGCCCTCCTTGATTGGTAAGTAGAGCGCTGAGGCCGCCTGTGTTCTGGCCCTTGTGGGGAATGGTTGGGTCAGGTCGTCGTTGGAAGTCGCTCGTGGAAACTTGCGCTGCTGGCGCTACCAGGCCAGTCACTCGGCCGTCGTGCACCCCGATGTCGCGCGTTACAATGACCCCTTGTCTGGCGAGGTCATGAATGGCGTCAATGACCATCTGTGCATTCAAGCCTGCCTGGGAGTCGGCGACGAGCATCGGGCCCTCGGGTGTCGCTGGTGCTCTTCCCGCGGTTGGGTCGGCGCGTCTCGACCAGGCGCACTGAAGCAGATCGCTTGGATTCGGGGGAGAGCTGAGTTCTTCGACGACCTCAGTGGCGGGCCGTTGTCTCACCGAGCGAGCATTTGCCGGCGCCGCTCTGCTAGCTGGTCGCGCCGCTCGATTGGCCATTGGAGAAAGCACCGTTTGTACCTAAGCTGAGGCAGGACGTCTCGTCCCGAGCCTATCCGCCTCAGTCAGTGTGGCAGCTGATTTAGCGCGAGCTACCCTTGCGGCCCGGGTTGTTCGCGCTGGTGCTTTCGGCACGGGTAATGGGATCTGATTTGCCGCCCGTCTTGCGCGTGGCTGACGAGGGCTTGGCGGCTGTGCGCCTCTTTTGGGTTGCGGCCCGTGACTGTGACCGGCGTCTCCAGTTGGGTTGCATCATGATTGGTGGGGCTGGTAATGTCCGGTATGAACGTCGCAGCAGCGCCGTTGGCGGGGGGGGGTGGGGCTGGTTGTGGCAGCCAATTGGTTGGGATGTTCTTGTCGTCCAACTGTAGGACTTGTTGCGCGTAGACGAGCGCGAAAGAGTCAATGCGCTCGTTGCGTGGTGTCCTGGTGTCGAGAGCAGTTTGGCCGACAATCCCCCGCGTGCTCGCCCAGGGTAGCAGTGGGCAAGGCTCGTCTGGCGAGGCGGGGTCGCAAGGGTTGTTCCGAAGCATGCTGCAGGCACTGTCGATCGCCAAGTTCGGATTGGAGTTGCGACGATGCGGGTCGCCCCCCGCGCTCCGCCCAGGCAGGCGAGCTTCGTTCCAATAGATGGCAAGCAATTTATTATAACTTTCCTCACTCAGCCGAAATTGCTCGAAAATCCTCTTGGTTCGCGCGCGGAGTTGGCCGATCGTGGTTCCCCAGATAAATGAAAGAGCGCCAGTCCTTTGAGGAGCCGATGTTCTCCACTCTGCCCTTGAACTGCGGAGTCTCAACTAACCTCCTCTGTCAAATGGCCAACGCAAAGCCTCGTGTTCTTGAGAAGCGCGCTCCACTTGGCGTTGGCGGCGCAGTGGAGGTTCAGTCCTTCTGGCACTCCGCCGGCCCTGCCGAATAGGTTTTCTCAGGATCAGTCTCGCCTGTGCCAGGGAGGGACAACAGTCTGTTTCTTCGATCAAGACCCTGCGTCGCATGCGCTGAGGAGCCCGTGGCCTGGGAGCTGGGCGCCGGGGAATGAACCTGGTCAGAGGCGGCAGGGTTGCTCCCGTTAGGGGGGGGCCTCGGCTGCTGGAGAGCGGGCGGGAGAGGCAGCCGGGGGTGGCGGGGCGGTTTGCGCGCCATTGTCAAGCGAGGAGGGGGGCGGGGCGCCTTGCCGCGGATGGGGCTCAGCGGGAGTGGGAGAGGCGGCGGGGGAGACGTCGGGGAGGAGGACGTCCGTCATGGCATGGTCTCCTGGAGAAGTCGGGACGCTCACTCTGGAGGCAGCTGCGGGAGTGACAGGTTGCTGCCGGGAAGGTCGGGGCTGCGCGGCGGGGGTGGGGTTTGACTGAGTCATCGGTACGGGAGTGACAAATTGCCGTTGCCAAGGTCGGAGCTGCGTGTCGGGGGTGGGATTTGACTGGGTCGGCGGTGCTGGTTGAGTCGTGGAGGCAGAGACTTGGTAAAGGCCACTTGCCTGGGCCCCGCGTCTGGGTGCGCGTCCTGGGTCGGGGCGTCGCCGGTCGGCAGCTCAAGCGCTTCTGATTCTCTGATGGAGGACCGTAATGGCCTCTTCTGCGTTGGCCGCGACACGGCGGGTCGCGACCAGTGCAAGGTATTCCCGCGCTCCAAGGAAGTTAAGGAACAGATCGTACGTGTCCTGCGGGTCAACCTCACCATCTGGTGCAAGCCATTGCTGGACCGGTGATTGCCTGTAGAAGTTGTCAGGGATTTCGAGGTCCTGAAGCAGTTGGTATACGTGGTCTCTCTTGAGTCGGATGGGGACAGTCAGCTGAATGAGCCAGAGCATGGTGAAAACGCCCCAACAGCATCTCCGTATCCGGTTTCCTGCGGCGGCGCTTCTTTCCTCTATCTCCAGGCGTCCAACACTTGCACGAGCGAAATTGTGTACTTCTTGGTCGTGGAGCGTAATCTCATATTGGTTGAGAAGGGCTCTGGCCGCTGCGACAGCGTCTTCCTGGGCAGAGACAAGCATAGGAGGGGGAAGGCATCGTCGCCGGGTGTCGGGGAGCAGGGCAGCAAGCGAGAGAAGACAACTGGGTGCGCGGGGCCTCTTTCAAGGGAAAGCTGGGTGTCGATACGTTGATTGCTACTGTGGAAGTGCTGAGGGGTCGGCGGGAGGTTGAGTCCAAGCTGGACAGGAGTGGGCGCGTTGGGTGGGGTCTCGGTGGATGCAGAGATGAAGACAGGGCCCATGGCCAGGCAGGCCTCAATGGTGGCGAGAGGGCGAAAACTGGAGTTGCTGGCCGAATGGGTTTCCAGTGCCGAAGGGACGGCCACGGTGGCCCACGAGGGCAATGTGTAGTGCAGCACGGCACGCTCTCCTGCTGCGGTGACTATGAGGCCGCCGCCGGCTGCGACGGCGAGAACGAGTTCCCCTGGACAGAGGCTGAACCCCACTCGTCGCGCGGACTCGCTGTCGCGTCTCCAGCGAGGAAGCGACGGTTCACTGTGACCGTCGCCTAGAAAGGGCCGGAAGCGGCTGCTGTTCTCCGACGGCCAGTCTTCGGTGATCGTGGGGGGGGGGCTGCATGGCGTTAGTGGGTTCGGGGTAGCATGTAGGTGGCCACAGCCGCGTCGAAAGCCGTATGTTGCCTTGGCCAACGGAGGTGGTGCACGTGAAATTGCCTTGGCCGCGCGGGCTGCAACTGCGGTCGTTGCGTTCGCTACTGTGTTGCACGAGGTCGCTACAGATGTACCGGCGCTGCTCCTGACCGATTTGGACTCCGCGCTGATCGATGGATTGAATGCCAAGAACGTGTGGGTGGATAGCCGCACGATGCGTTTGGCTGGTCTCCTGGCTGCTTGCTCTGTCCAAGTGTTCTCGCATGTTCCGCGGCATCTGGGGCGCCCTGCGTGCTCCGCCCCTGGCTGCCGTGGCAGGAGAGATGCGACACGCAGAGCTCTCGGTCCTGAGATAGGCATTCCCACCGAAGGCACCAGCCATGGTGTCGCTGGCAGCAGTGCGGATGAGCACCCGTGACATCTGCTGATAACACTGGAGATCAGGATGGTAGACGCACTGTGCCTGCTCGACGGTGTCTTGTCCCGTTGTGTGTTCGATGGCGTCGACGACTTGTTCATGCGTAAGCTGTCCAGCGCCTGCGATGTTCCATCTGAGGTGGAAGCCCGACTCGGGGCCCTCTCTTGGGCCGTCGTGGGGCTCTCTTGGGGCCCTCGCGGTCGTTTGGGCGATCTCTTGGGGCCGTCGTGAGGCTATGTTACACCGTCCAGGGGTCATTTTAGGCCGTCTCGAGTCCCTCCAGAGGCCCCACTTTGGCCAATGTCAGCCATTCTGGTACCCTCTTACGCCGTGTTGGGGCCGTCGTCGAGGCCTCCTGGATCATCTTGAAGCCCTCTTGGGCCGTCGTGCGGCAATCTTGGGAGCCTCTTGGGCCATCCTGAGCCGACGGAAGCCCGAAAAGGCAAGAATGCCAAAAACCTGAAAAAATAGCCTGGCGAAGAACCCAACCATATGCAGATGTGAATACCGCAGTTGTGAGTACGATCTTAGGTGAAACTCCCTACGGAGCACACCCAGCATGCGGGTAGTGCCGCTGGAGCCTTCGGTGGGGCTCCCTGTGGAGCGTCTGCTGCGGCCGCTGCTGCTGCTGCTGCTGCTGCCGCTGCTCGGGGGAGTCCCGACCCCCCACACAAACAAACGTGAGGGGTGGGTCTGGATGGTTCCCTGGGGAGGTCGGGGGACACTTCCTTACAAGGAACATGCGACGGGGGGTCATGTAGGGTGCCCCCATTCAAAACAAGACAACGCGACGGGGGTGTAGGGGAGAACTGCAGGGGGGCAAGGACCCACCTCGTCCTCGTCCTCACCGAAAGAAGCAGAGGCACATCCAAGCTGCTACATCCTCGGTCATCCCCGTCCCGCTGCCCGAGGCGGTCCTGGAACGCCTTCCAGCCCCACTCCCGGTACTGCTGCTTCTGGGGGCCAGCCGCAGGCGAGAGGGCGAGGAAAGCCGCGGGGGGGAGGGGAGGGGGGGGCGAGATGGGGGGGAGGGGAGAGGGCGACGAGGGTTCAGTCGGACCCAGGCCAGCAGGACAATGCCTCAAGAACACGGGACCCTCCGTCGGCCAAAACACACAGGATATCTAAGGGTACCCTCCCAAGGATGCACAAGAGCATCCAACAAACACGAGAGGCACTAAGGCACCCTCCCCGAACCGACCTCGATCTCAGACATCGGTCCGACTGCGTAGGCATGAGGGATGAGGAGGGGGAAAGATGTGGAGGAAGGGACACACAGAGCAAGGGGGGGGGAATGTGGCAGGCGATACAAGTGTGGATGTGGAGAAAGGGGAAAGGAAAACGAAAAGGTGGGCAGGGGGACTGCGAGGAGGGGACAGTGTGGAGGTGTCTGATGCTGCAGGGGAAACGGGGGGGAGAAGGAAAACGGGAGGGGGAGAAGTTCAATCCGCGCCTTCCCCAACTCCTCCTGCTCCTCTTCCTCCTCACCACCGTCACCATCACCAATGCTGTCATCACCACCACCCCACGATCCCCATGACCATTATCATCATCGTCATCATCATCATCATCATCATCAGCATCATCATCATCATCATCATCATCATCATCATCATCATCATCATCATCATCATCATCATCATCATCATCATCATCATCATCATCATCATCATCATCATCATCATCATCATCATCATCATCATCATCATCATCATCATCATCATCATCATCATCATGGTCATCATCATCATCAGCATCATCATCAACATCATCATCATCGTCATCATCATCAGCATCACCATCAGCAGCAGCATCATCAGCATCAGCATCAGCACCAGCATCAGCATTAGCACATCAGCATCAGCCCATCAGCATCAGCATCTGCATCATCATCAGGGACATCATCATCATCATCATCATCATCATCAGTATCGACAGCACAATCATCCTCATCATCATCATCATCAGCATCATCATCAGCATCACCATCACCCGCCTGATAATGAGCATCTCCTATCAACGTCGTCATCATCAACATCATCATGACCATCACCATCATCATCATCAGAATCACAATCACAATCACAACTATTATCAGCATCACCCTCACCACCCCTATCATCATCAACAACATAAGCATCATGACCAAAATCATCGGCATCAACATCAGAGCAGCACCGGTATCCTCGTCCTCAGTATCATTATCAGACTCGTCACCCTCACCATCAGCAGCATCACCATGATCATCATCATCAGCATCATCATCAACATCATCATATGAAGCATCCCCAGCATCAGAACCAGCATCATCATAATCATCATCCTCATCATCAGCATCAACAGCATCCTCATCCTCATCCTCATCATCACCCTCCTAATAATGAGCATCGCCAATCAACGTCGTCATCATCAACATCAACACCTCCATCATCACCACCATCATCATCATCATCATCATCATCATCATCATCATCATCATCATCATCATCATCATAATCACAACCACAACCATCATCAGCATCAGCCTCACCACCCCTATCGTCATCAACAACATAAGCATCATGACCATAATCATCGGCATCAGCATCAGCAACACCGGTATCCTCGTCCTCAGTTTAATCATCATATTCGTCACCCTCACCATCAGCAGCATCACGATGATCATCATCATCATCAGCATCATCATCAGCATCATCATCTGAAGCATCCCCAGCATCAGAACCATCATCATCATAATCATCATCCTCATCATCAGCATCAGCAGCATCCTCATCCTCATCTTCATCAGTATCCTCCTGGTAATCGACATCGCCAATCAACATCGTCATCATCACATCATCCTGACCATCTCTCCCACCATCAGCATCATAATCACCAACACCTCCATCATCATCATGATCATCATCATCATCATAAGCATCATCATCATCCTCACCACCCCCATCATAATCAACAACATAAGCATCATGATCATCATCATCGGCGCCAGCGTCAGCAGCACCATCCTCTTGATCCTCATTAAAAGTATCATGCTCGTCATCATCACCAGCAGCACCATCGTCATCACCATCATCGTTATCACCATCATCAGCATCATCATCGGCATCATCAGCATCATCATCACCCCCCTTATCACAACAACCCCCTCCCCCCCCCCACCCCACAAAAAGTACGAGTGCGTATCCGCAAAATGTCCATGACCATGATCGGCATGATCAGCGTCATCACCACCACCACCATCAACTCCAGGACCAGCAACATCATGAGCCCAAACATCATCAACGCCATCACCACCCACCATGATCATGACCAAAATCATCGTCATACCCACACCATTATCATCATCACCATCATCACCATCGTCATCATCACCATCATCAGCATCGTCATCATCATCATCAGCAGCATCATCATCAGCATCAGTATCATCGTCGTCGTCAGCCTCTTCGTCGTGATACCATTACCATCACCCTCATCCTCACCGTCACCATCACCATCCATATCGATCAACATTACCAGCGTCATAAACACAATTATCTTGACCAGCACCTCATCGTCAGCATCATTATCATTAGCATAATCGGCATCATCATCAGCATCAGCATCATCATAATCAGCATCATCTTCGTCGTCACCATCATCATCGTCACCATCATCACCATCATCATCAGCAGCAGCAACATCAGCATAATTCTCATCATCGTCATCATCATCGTCATCGTCAATACCTGCATGACCATCATCAGCAGCATCATCATCACCACCTTCATGAACATGTTCATGGTCAGCATCATCATCATCATCATCATCATCATCATCATCATCATCATCAGCATCATCATCATCGTCATCATCATCATCATCATCAGCATCATCATCATCGTCATCATCATTGTCATCATCGCCCTCATCGTCGTCATCGTCGTCATCGTCGTCATCATAGCCATCATCAGCGGCAGCAGCATCGACGTCGACATCAGCATCATCATCAACAAAATCGTCGTCATCATCATCAGCATGACCAACAATATCAACGTCATCATCAGTATCATCATCGTCAGCATCACCATTACCTGTATCATTATCACCATCATCAGCAGCATCATCACAACGCGTATCATCAAAATCGCAATCACCACGACCATCATATTCACCAACAGCATCATCATGATCATGATCATTATCATACTCATCATCATCACCATCATCAGCGTGGTCATCGTCATCGTTATCACCACCAGCAGCTTCATCAGCAGCATCATCAGTTTTATCATTCATCAGCATCGTCACCACCGGCGTCATCCTCACCATCACCACCATCACCACCATCATCACCACCACCATCATCAACAACATCACCACTACCGCCCCTCCCACTCCTCATTTTCCATTGCCTCCTCCCCTTCCTCCTCCTCCTCCTCCTCCTCCTCCTTCTCCTCCTTCTCCTCCTACTCCTATTCCTCCTCCTACTCCTCGTCCCCCCCCTCCTCCTCCTCATCCTCCTCCTCCTCCTTTTCCTCCTCCTCCTCATTTTCCTCCTCCTCCTCCTCCTCCTCCTCCTCCTCCCCCGCCGCCGCCTCACCCTTCTCACTCTTATCATCATCCTCCTGCACCTCGTGACCCTGAGTCTCTTCCTCCTCCTCCTTCTCCTCCGCCTCCTCCTGCTCTCCCTGTCCTCCCTCCCGCACCCCCTCCTCCCCATCGTCCCCCTCTCCCGCACTCCCTCTGCCCACCCGCTGCCCCCGCTCGCCCCCTCGGCATCACGACTCCACAGGGCGAGCAGGCCGCGGGCGGTCTCCCCGGTGAGCTCGTGCATGTACCACCAGGCCTCGAGCGCCTGGCGCGGATCGTCCCGTCCTTCGAGCGGAGGAGGAGGCCGGAGAGAGGGACGAGGGTTATTTTGCTCCCATCGTACTGAAGGAGCACATCCCAGAAATAATTTCGAACACCCAGAACAGTATCGAAGCAGTGTCGAACGAGTATCGCCTCCCAGGGCCCTACACGTGAAGATTCTCCAGTTTCGGTACTTTCTTGGTGCTCGGAATTCGTTCTGGTGACCGAAGCTCAAGCAGGTGCTGGGGAATCCTAAGACGAGGGGAAGGAAGGCAGGAGATCAGATGCGACTTTCCATGGGGCCCTCGGCCCTTCCGCATGCCAAACCTCGCAATCGCTCGGACGTCCATTTTTTGTGTTTTTTGCAATTTCGTGCGTGGTTTTTTCGCCAAATGATCAAGGATGCTCCTCGATGGTCCTCGCCGAAGGAAAAATGCACACGTCCGAGCGACGCCAAGAAACAGAACAGCAGAGCACGAGGCCCAGAGCAAAACAGGGCTAGGATCGGGATAAATCGCTCCAGAGCGCTCCGGAACGTTCTCAGAGCGTTCTGGAACGCTCTGGAGCGGCCGCGGCGCCCAATACATCCTCCAAACCCGCCGATTCTCAGAGACTTCGAGTTCTCCCGATCCGATTTTGCCCCGATCTTCGCGTCGTTTTATTGAGGTAGCAGAGGAGGCGCCCCAGGGCAGAGACGCCTTGAAACGACGCGGCTCTGGAGGAGGAGGAGGAGGAGGAGGAGGAGGAGGAAGAGGAGGAGAAGGAGGAGGAGGGGGAGGAGGAGGAGGAGGAGGAGGAGGAGGACGGGGAGGGACAAGCTGGGCGCGACCGCGCAACATCGGACACCCGACTGCTCCCGTGCAGAGAAACATCCCACGAGAAACCCAACATCGAGACCCCAGGACGTTTATTGATTTTTGGTGTGAGAAGGTCACGCTTTCCACTGCAAAACCATCGGAACCCAAGAAACCCAGGGCACCCCTGGAGGCAAGCAGGCTGTTCCTTGGCATGGGTTTCCACTGTATCATCCCCTCCAATTGCGATGAATGCTCCTCTCTTTCTGCCGCGTGAAGTGTCCTGGAGGACCCTGATCCCCAAATGGCAGCCGCAGAACTCGACCAGCAGTGGCTGCGCAATCGACGTCGAGGTCATGTGCACACTGGAGGATCTGCAGATGATGCAGACGGCACGAAACCATGCCCACGATGAGCGGCCACCGCTGCGAAAATCGCCTCCAGGCGCGTGCACACTGAAGGGATGAGGAGGAGGAGGCGAGGAGGAGGAACAGTAGAAGCAGAGGAGGGGGAGGAGAAGGGGAGGAGAAGGGGAAAGGAGGGAAACGACAACGACCAGAAGAAGTCGAATCCTGAAATGTGGCCCGCGCTTGGGAGATACCGCATATCCCAGCTGCAAGCAGTGCACCAGAGTGGCCAACGCTGCAGCGAGAACATCAATGTGACGGACTGGTCTTAAAACTGAAGCTGTCAACTGGCGGTTCGACCGGGGAAACCTTTGAACAACCAACGTTGAGACCCTGCGCGTATGTGAAAACAGAGCGCGGGAGCGAGGGAAAAAACGGTTGGACTTTGCCAGGGGAGAAAGGAGGGTAGCGCGATGGTGCGCGAGCGTTGAGGGGAGGAAGAAGGAGGAGGATGAAGAGGCGGAGCAGGAGGAGGAGGAGGAGGAGGAGGACCACCACACCAAGCCCTCTTCCCTTTGCCATCCCTGCCCTTCGCCCTCGACTCCCCCGGTCTCCCCCCGCTCCATGCCTCTCCCTTGCTAAAAGCGCGAAGCCTAATTCGGGAAAAACAATTTCCCGGAGGTGGGCACCGTCCACCTCCGGAGAAGGGCCCCGGAGGTGGATTTGGCCACCTCCGGGGAACGGCCCCGGAGGTGGATTTGGCCACCTCCGGCGGGTGGGTCGCTTAGATAGGATCTTGTTTCCGGAAATCGTTTTTTCATACTGCGTTTTGTTTTTGCTCCTGCCCTGGACGTTTCGGGCCTCTGTTTTTGCATTTTTTAATCGGGATTCCTGTTCCTCTCCCTCCTCCTCCCCCCCCGCCTCCTTCTCCTCCTCCTCCTCCTCCTCCTCTTCCTCCTCCTCCTTCTCCTCCTCCTCCTCCTCCTCCCCTCCTCCCCTCTCCCTGCTCCTCGGCCTCCTCCCCTCCTCCTCCTCCCTCCTCCTCTTCTTCCTCTCCTCCTCCTCCTCCTCCTCCTCCTCCTCCTCCTCCTCCTCCTCCTCCTCCTCCTCCTCTTCGGCGGCTGCGGCGGCTGCGCCGAAGGCGGTGGCCGCGGCGACAGCTTCAGCGCGACGGCTGCCACGACGACGACGGCAGCGACAGCGACGACTGCGGCGACGGCGACGACGTGACGACGACGACGACGACGACGGCGACGGCCCGACGCCGCACGCCGGCGCTGCCGGCCTCGCTGCCGCGCGGCTCCGACTCCGTGGTCACGGACCACGGGGGCAGCGGCCCGCCCTCCTCCTCCTCCTCCTCCTCCTCCTCCTCCTGGAGCCTCCGCCTCCTCCTCCTTTTGCTCCTCCTCTGCTCCTGCTTCTCCTCCTCCTTCCACCTCCTTCTCCTCATCCCCCTCCTCCTCCTCCTGGTCCTCCTCCTGGTCCTCCTCCTTCTCCTCTCCTTTTTCCTTCTTCCCCCTCCTCCTCCTACTCCTCCTCGCCCCCCCCACCTCTACCCTCATCCTCCTCCACTTCCGACTCCGCCCCGTGACTCCCGTGACTCTTCAACCAGTGCCAATCGCCCATCCTTCACTCGGTGTTCCTCCGCCTCACTTCTCCCCCCCCCCCTCCCCCCTCCCCCTTTTTCCGACTCCTCCCTCCTCCGCCTCCTCCTCCTCTCTTCTCCTCTCCTTTCCTCCTCCTCTTCCTCATCCTTCCTCCTCGTCCTCAGGGCCCTCCTTCTCCTCCCCCCCCTCCTCCCCCTCCTCTCCGCCAGCGCCCCGCCGGCGGCGGCGCGCGGATGGCGAGGCGCCCCCCCGTCGGCCCGTCGTTTTGCCTCGCACTGCTGGCACTGCGGGGGCGTTGTATGCTCTGACATGCCGAAACCACTGCATCGAGCATTGCATTGCATGCATGCTGCATGCGTCGCTAATTGAAACAGTAACCGAAACCGTACATAGACGTGGGCCTTTGCACAACATGAACACTGTCCGTGGCGAGCGAGCAGCCTGTCTGAGTTGAGGGACGGGGGCGTAGCGTGGGAGCGTGGCTTAGGTCAGTAGGTCAATGGAGTAGGAGAGTAGGAGAGGAGTCGGTGAGGAGCCGAGGCGAGCACGCAGCCAGGCAGGCCGCGCCGAAAACTGAAAAAAAGCAAAGCCAAACTTGAACTACTGACTGGCTTTTCGACTCCCGATGCGACCCGCTTGTCAGGGCCAGAAATCACCCCGAGAGACTCGGAGTCACTCCGACTGTGCGAGGGGGCTCCGTCTTTCTTTCTTGATTTCTCTTTTTTTCTCTCTCTCTCTCTCTCCCTCTCTCTCTCTCTTGTTTGTGTTGTTTCTCTCTCTATCTCTCCCTCTCTCTCTATCTATAACTGTCTCTCTCTCTCTATCTCTCCCCGTCCTCTCCTCCCTCCTCCCTCCCCTCCCCTCCCTTCTCTTCCCATTCGCCTCCACCCTTCGGAATCCTCATCCTTCTTCTCCTCCTCCTCCTCCTACTCCTCCTCTCTCCTCCTCCTCCTCCTCCTCGTCTTCCTCCTCCTCCTCCTCCTTCTGTTTCCCTCTCCTCCCTCTCAAGCTTTGGCCTCAAGCTACCTACTTCAACAGGTGAACGGCTCTCCCCCTGCCGCCAGAGCTGGAGGAGGTGGACTGGCCGACTGTCTCGGCCTCGTCCTGCTCGACGCCGTCCGCGGCGAGAGTCTCGGCGGCGACGGTCTTGGCCGTGACGATGCCATCGTAGCCGAGGTACGTCGCGAGGGTGGGCGCATCCTTGTCCACCTTCTCCTGCGACGGTTTCACCAGCAAGATCGAATCCGCTCGCGCGTTGGCCCCTGTCAAGCGCACCGACTGCTTGAGTTCCGCGCGCCATACGTCGAGGCTGATGGCCTTCTGATTCAGCATCTTGGACAGGGGCCCGTCCTCGTCGAGCTTCACCGCGGACCGAACTTTGACCAGCTCCACGTTTGTCGACTTGGGCTTCCCTGGGACCATCCACGCAGGCGAACAACAGGGGGATGTCGTCTTGTCGAAGCCCGTGCCGGTCATGAAGATCCCGAACGTGGCGACGACGGCGCCGTGCTCTGGCTCCTTGTCCCCGCCCCCCGGCCCCTGCAGCTCTCTCGGTTGGCAGACCTGAACTGCGAGCGCGAGCAAGCTGTTCGTCTCCTTTGTCCACGTCGCCTTGCCGAAGAGAATCATGTGGAAATCGTCGTCATGGGTCGCCGTTTTACCGCAGTACCTCACGCCGCCCTTCTTATCAGATACATCCACAGTGACCAGCTCGGTGCACCCGAGCCGCTGGCTAGCTTGGTGGTCTGCCAGGTAGCGCCCCTCAACGACGTTGCAGACCATCTGGAGCATAGGGAGGCCGAAGTCGGTCGTGCGCACGGTGATCTTCGGGGCATCCTCGAAGTCCCTGCCGTCGAAAGCTCTGCAGCGCTCTCCACCGCCGCGCCGAAAAAGGTGAACTGGTGCAAGTCCTTGACGGACCAGTGCTGCTTCTCCGAGATCTCCACGAGCATCCGGTGCTTCGCTTCGGCGGCCACCTTCGCGGCGGCCGCCGCGGCTGCCTCCTGCTCCTGCTCCTTCCTTCTGGCCGCCGCCTCCTCGTCAGCCAGCGGTTTGCCAGCGTCGGCGGCGCTGGCCGCAGCCCCACAGCTGCCGCTCCCCCCCGGGAGGTCCTTCAGGAGGATGTGCAAGTTTTTAATGCCCAACTCTTCCAGGCGGCTGGTCGCCACCTTGATCGCGACCTTCTCGAGGCCCTCGAGGTCGTCTTTTGTGTCAGCGACTTGCTCGTCCATCGCCTTCACCAATTCCTTCCAGTGC